GTATTTGATTCCCAATTTAAATGTGACCTCTCTGACCTCCTTTTGTTGTCAACAGGTCTCATCCACTTCTCTCTTCCTTGTCTTCATCACCTTGATTTTTTACTTCTCCGTCTCTCTTTACTTCTTCTTTTTCACCCATGGATGCACAAATAATAGAGGAATTCAAGGCTCCCGGCACCCATAGATCTATTTTATTGGTTATTGTTAATTTGCATTCTTTTCATTTTAACCTAGTGGATGATGAAAAAGATTAGTCTTAAGTATCATGCAAGTTTTGAATCTTTCAGGAACCGACAAAGTGAGCAGGAGACGGTATGTTCTCGATATCAAAGACCGGCCGGCATCAGCTAGCACCGGAATGGTGAGCAACTGAGCGTCACATAAGTGCGTGATTGTCTCATTGTCTGTTGCATTGCTGACGGATATGCGCGGACAGATCCCTATGGAAGAAAATGGTGTAATTTCAGTTCAATGAAAACAATTTTGGTGCATTTTTTATTGTTATTTAATATTTTCCTTTGTGAAGAAATTTTGTTACTCCAATGAACAAGCATTCTTGTTAGTTTGTTGCTGTAATTTTGCATTTCTAAGATGTGTTTATGTCCATTCCTGGTGATGCGCGAAATGTGTAATTTGATTTTGTTTATATATTTCAAATTTCTAAAATGTGTTCATGGCCATTCTTGTTAGTGTGTTGCTGTAAATTTTCCTTTCTTTTTCTTTGTATAAAATTGAACAATTTTGTACTTGCTCCATTAAAAAGTTTCATATGGCAAAATGCATGCGTGTGATATACATACCGGTAATAGTTGAATGTAAATTTTCAGCCTGTTCGGTTGGCTGGTTCGTTTCGTTGCTGGTTCATGAAGAAGTACTGCTGGCTGGTTTGTGTGAGAGAAAAATACTGTTCCGGCTAAAAATTTACGATCGTTTACGACAAACCACAGCCAAACGAACGGGCTGTTTGTTAGGTTGAAAATGGGAATGGCAATATTAAAATATTGGTTTGCATGACGAGCCAAAAGGTATAATAAATATTTGATCTTGCTGTTAGCTACCTTTATTACACCCAAAATAAACAGCATTGACACTATATGGTCTAAAGAAATCCGTCTCAGTGGTTGAATAGGAGACAACTTTTAAGCGGCTTGTAAGTAATAGACTGAATTATTTTTTTCAACTAGTTGAATTCACTGCGTGTTGCTGCAGAAATCTGTGGACGCCAACTTTGTAGAAGCATTTGACGAGCTAAGCAAAGAGAAGAATAAAGTAGCATGGCATCTGTTAGGAGAATCATACAGGAGTATGATGGGAAAGATATATGGGTGTATGGCCCCCTTCGCTTCGCTGAAAGCCGAAACACTGTTCCGTCTGATTTATTGTGAGAGAAAAATAATATTTTAATTAAAAAAATAAGTTGAAAAAAATAGATTATAAGATTATAAGAGAGACGAACAGAGCCTATATATTAGAATGGGTAAATTGCTAGATCGAAGAGGCAAATTGCCACACGGCCACACCAGCGCCGGTTTGGATAGCAGGCTACCATTAGTCCATCACCCGCCGCTGCTACCGCCCGCCCCACCACGATTCCAGCGGAGACTGCGCCGTGCGTCGGAATCGCGCCGTTGTCGCAGAGTAAACTGAGCGGCACCATGCCGGCTGTCACGCAAGCGTGCTGTGACGGCCTCGTCGACCTCAACGCCCTTGGTGTGGTGGCCGCGACGAACATGACAGTGTCGAGACTCTGTGCTAGTACAACGTCGATCTATATCAAGGTGTTAGATGTGATGCTAATTGAATTGTTGTAAGCACATGGCATGGAGATGTATATAATAAGATAGGTGATTGATTCGATCAGATCTTCAGAGGTGTCCAAACTGAAATCATAGAACAGCGTCATTCCTTCTTGCTTTTTGCACGGAAGAGAAAAAGAAGACGCTTTACCGATGGTGTGCTTGATCTGAGCAACTACAGCTGGGAGCTTCGCAACCACTTGAGACTTGATCACTAGCCCGTTGGGCACGTGTTCCAGTTGGCCGCGGCGCCGGCCTACTGGAGGTGCTCAGTGCCGCAGAAACCCGTGCGAGCAGGACATAGAACATGTAAAGAAAGTGGGGAAACTGGGAACACATACTTAGCATGAAGCACTAATATAATGATCCGCACAATGAGAAGGCGTGATGTGAGGATGAAGTCGAGCCCTGGTGGGCGGTGGCCACTGATCTGTCTCTCTTTTACGAGGGCATGTTGGGTGATCTCTTGGTTGCCTTCACCCACTGATCAGCTGCCTTGACAATTACTGTAGGCATGAAAAGGCCATGTCGTGCGTATGCGTTGGTAGGGACATGAAGAGATGGTAGGTGACGGAGGTAGACTGAACGGTTGCCAAATAGGTGTGACGTGGCAGCATGAGAGTTGAAATTTAGGAGAATTTATTTATTATTGCCTATTAGTGGGTATGAACTATATAGAGATAATAAAAAAAAACTAGCGTCTAGCGAGCAGAACAGATGAGCGAGGAGCAACAGCCCACTTCGCCGCCAGCCGCACTGCTGCAGGCCTTCGTTCAATCCACAGAAACAGGCCGGACGGGCATACTCGCGCGGGCCGCAGGGCGCGCATAAGGGAGCCGAGCGGCCCTGCGCCCTACTGCCGGGCGGCTCGGGGTCGGGTCACCGGGCGGCGGGCGGCGGGCCCTAGGGGCGCGAGCGGGCGGCCGTCGAGGTCGCGCGGGCGGGCGGGAGGCCACCGAGCTCTCGCGCGCGGAAGGGGCCGGGCGCTCGTCGGCGGGCTGTGGGCGGCTCGGCGGCAGTCGGCGTCGCGGCGCCTGGGCCAGGCTTGGTGCAGGCGCTCGGCCGGCACGGACGCACGCTCAGGGCCCCGCGGGGCGCACGCTCGGGGCACGGTGGGGCTTAGGCTCGGCCACCGGGGGGCACAGGCTCTAGGCGCGGCAGGGCATTCAAGGGCACGGCAGCGGTGGTTCAGGTCCAGAGCAACAGAAGAGGTAATTGTTTGTTCAGCATTCTCTTATCTTCTGTTGTTATTTTCTATGCTTGGACTCTTTAGATGGACTAGTTGTTTCGTGTTATAAATCTAATAAATCTAAATTTTGACGTAGCAAAACAAGTGCTAGTTGTTTGTTTACAGGAAAATTTGTTCTTCAGATGCACGTCCAGTATGCATCTTAACAATTTTGTTTGCATTGCTGCTATAATTCAAGTAATTGGTCAAAGGTGAAGAAAACCTTTTCCCTGATGTGTAAGTAGAACTGTAGTGTAGAATAAACTAGGTTGCCGACGCGTTTTAGAGTTTACCTTTGATATCCAAGTATGGTTCCTGCTAGACAATGTATATTCATATATTGATGCGTTTTAGAGTTTACCTCTGATATCTAAGTATGGTTCCTGCTAGACAATGTATATTCATATATTGATGCGTTTTAGAGTTTACCTCGGATATCCAAGTATGGTTCCTGCTAGACAATGTATATGCATATATTGGGTTTCGTCCTGGGCTGTGCAGTCCCAAGCATAGCCGGCCAGCCCTCCTAGAATGTGCTGCCCCTCGTGCCGCCTTGACCTTCTCTGGTATCGCTTCCCTTCGCACCCGGAATCCCCCGCGTACCTTCAGCCATCCCCGGCACACCTCCTAGCTCTCCCTTTACTGCCGCAGCCGCGAAGGCCAAGGCCTCCATCGACGAACAAGTGTTCCAGCATCTTGCTGCAGCCCGCGAGGCGAAGGAGGCCCCTTTTCGCAGGGCTAGGTAGGCCCGCAAGTTCACGCTTGCCTGCACGCATGAGGCCGATCACGAGATCACCCTTGCAGTTCAGGACCAGGGCGCCGCCGCCCCGTGCGATCAGGATGCTCTGGCTTGTGTCACCCGTGAGCGTTGTACCTCCGGACCCTGAAGATGATGCTGAAGCCGACGTCGCCTCCCACACGCTAGATCTGCCGTGCACTATCGAGGATGCCATGCTTCTCCATGAAGCAGCCGACATCAGCGCACCAAGCATGTGGAGATTGATCACCATTTTGTTCATGAGGGCATTGTTCTCGGTCATGTCTGCAGGACCGCGTCTTTTATGTTCCAACCTCCTCACAGTTCACGGAACATTTTCACCAAGGGGCTGCCTTCCACGGTCTTCACGGAGTTCAGTTCTAGCTTGAACGTTCATTCATTCGATGATCGAACTGTGGGGGCATGTTAGACAATGTACATGCGTATATGTTCTCGGGTTTAGGCCTGGGCTATGCAGTCCTAAGCACAGCTGGCCAACCCTCCTAGATTGATTAGAGATAGGAGACGGCAGGGACAGAGCCAGGATTCAGGATTTAGATATAGGGGGGGGGCAAGTCCATCAAGTGTCGACAAAAAAATTTAGGTTACCAGTGCCAAACATTGATGTTGGTTTTAAAAAAATCTTGACCTTGATGTTGGCTTAAAAAACTATAAATCATTTTTACTCTTTCTTTTCTTCATCTCGAACACGTGCTAAGCGCCTAAATTGAAGATATAAAGAGCTTGCTGCCCCCTTCTCTCTGCCCCTGGGAGAGGAGATCTTGTTTGGTATTGTTTCTATAAACACAAGGTCCCCTCTTACAATGGGTGGTAGCTAAGGGCCTGTTTAGTTCCAAATAAGTCACCTACTTATAAGTTAAAAAGTGACTTATTTTGCCAAACACCACCAACTTATAAGTCACCCCTGCTTATAAGTTTTAAGTTGGTTCACCCCTGCTTAAAACTTATAAGTCACCCTTTTTCGCGTGGGGCTCACACCTTTAATGAGCTTATAAGTCATTTACAACCAAACAGGCATGACTTATAAGTCACTGATTTTTAGTCACCTGACTTAATAAGTCACCTGACTTATGGAAACCAAATAGGGCCTAACAACCCGGGTCTGGTAGCTACCCACTTTGCGGATGAGTGACGCGTGGCTGCTCTAACGGCAGGATGAAAGCTTGCTTCTGCTGCGTCTGTGACAAAAGACCCCTCCATGTCGCATCTGACTCTGAGCATGCGTGGTGTCAGGTCTGTTTGCGCGACCTGAAAGTGGGGCGACACGGCAGCAACCTGGGTAGGCATCAACTTGTTTCAACGTCCTCAGTTTCAACACGATAAAAAGCTAGCCTGCTACACAATGAAACCTGCTGCATGCCTCAGCTCAGAGTTTTGACGGGAAGGAAAAATTCTATTGGCCACAATCACTCACTTTCCCTCCTAATACAGGTACTGTAGCCAAAACCATGCTATCCAACTCCCTCCCCATGACCTCCATAGCTACGGCCTAGGAGCCTACTGACACAGTCACAGACTTGGTAGCTGCCAACTCAGCTCGTGCAGGAATGCAGGGTGCCGTGGTCATGTACTCCATACTTTTCATCGTGCAAAAGTCGCTGTCCAGAATGGGGTTATTTTTAAATAAGATTTTAATAAAAAAGGGTTAAAAATAAAAAAATTGCAACTGGCTATGTCACTATGTTAATCGACCCAAATAATGGGTCTGTCACTATGTCAGTCAACCCAAATACTAGTTGTTTCAGCATTTTTGTTAGAAAAATGGCGGAGTAGCTGTGTAGGAGACCCATGGGCTAGTATTGCACGCACAAAAACTGGTGCGTAGCCGAAAGCCTTATCTGCTATAGAAAAATGGGAGAGCAGCAGTGGTCCCACCCACATGCACTGAAAAGCCGAACTCCAAGCCGCACCACCACACTTTTTTTAGTACATTCCTGCCAGATGTAGACACGTGATGTGGGTGGGTACATATCCCCTCCTGGTGGTTTAACTAGCACCTGCCCAAATTAGTCAATTTGCTGTTTTACACGATTTCTATTGCTTTTAGTTCCTAACAAGTTGTTTGCTTATTAGTAGGTTTTCAAGAATGTCTCAGCCAACTGTGATGGTAATTGCTATTCTCTTTTGTCAATTTATTAGACAACCACGTAAATTATTCAGAAACTAATGCTGTGCATATGCTTTTGTTATTTAGACATGCATTGGACAGGAAGAGCATAAATTGATTGTGTATGATGAGACAATTGCAATGGGAGACTCTTATCGAGCTGCAGGGAAATGCAAAGAAAATATTCAGTACTGTATTGCTGAGCCATTTGGTGATGTAGATGAAGCAGTGCGTATCTACAATTTGTTGATTACCTTGAAGCATCCAAATCTACTCTCCCCAATTGGTCTTTGGGCATGTCGTGGGGGTGATTTCAGAAAAGGGGAAGTTAAAGCGTTCATAGCATTTGTGCCCTTTGACGGTGCTCTGGTTGATCTTTCAAGGGAAGAAATATTTTTAGTTGAGGGCAACAGCTCTAAAGCCAAATCTTATGGTTTCTTGCCTCAAGGTTCTAGACTGTTTTGGTAAGTAATTTATTGTTATGCATATTTGTTGCACACAAAGTAATTTCTTTTAGGAACAATGGCAGGTGCTTTGCCTTTTTATTAAAGAATTTAGAAAAACTACCAGCCTTAGACATCATGCTAGGGCTTAATTATGTACAAAGAGATAAAAGATTGCATAGCTAGCTAACCTAATTATGCCTGTGCTAGTCGCTACAAGTCCCTATAAGCAAGAGCACTCTATCCAGATTGGTTCCTCTATTCTCTAACCACCTCCTATTTATCTCCTTTCAAGTATACCAAACTGAGTAAATTGCCCAATGAAGTTGCTTGCAGTGAGTAGCTCCCTCCAATGATGCAATGAAACTAGTTCTTGCTAGCATTGAGTAGACTTAAACCATAGCTTCCTTAAATCCCTCTCCAAACTTGTTTTGCACAAGAGCACTCTTCTTCGATGGTTGAAGGTTCACCTGGTGCCCTATTTAGCAGCACTTTAGAAGTTGTAGAGCCCCACATAAGCATCTGAGGCCACATGGGAGGACTCCGCTTCCGTCCAAAGTTTTTCAGTTCTGATCTCGAGAAGCGGTATTTTCATGACTCCTCAACTATGCAACCAGAGAACAATTGTTGCAGCCAATTGGCATTCAGCAAGCAAGACACCGGGTATCCTTCTATGCGGATGATGCAGTGAACTTTTTGAGGCCTTCGTCGAGTGACCTCCAAGTCATTAAGCTCCTACTTGACCTGTTTGGGCATGCCTCTGGGCTTCAAACTAATTTGACAAAAAGCTCTGCAACTCCTATTCACTGCTCGGATGAGGATAAGCTGCATACCTCAGAAGTCTTGGCCTGTGCAATCAAGGATTTTCCCTTCATCTACCTTGGCCTTCCCCTCACTATCCGCAAGCCAACTAACTACTAAGGATGTGTTTCTGTCTCTGAAGATTACCTTCCAGGTTGGAAAGCCTCCTTGATGAATAGAGCTGGGCGCCCGGTAATGGTTAGAGCGGTGTTGTCAGCTTATCCCATTTGTCATATGATTGTTCTGGATCCTCCAAAGTAGGCAATCAAGGCTATTGAAAAAAAAAACGCAAAGGCTTCCTGTGGAGAGGTCAAGAACAGGCAAATGGAGGTAACTGTCTTGTGTCCTGGACAAGAGTTCAGCATCCTTTAGAGTATGGTGGCTTAGGCATTCATAACCTGGAAATCCTTAGTTTGGCTTAGCCATTCATAACCTGGAACCGTTGGCTTTGGGCTGAAAAAACAGACCCTGCTAGGCCGTGGGCTGGTTTCCCAATTCAAGTGCCAAAGAATGCCCAAGCACTTTTTAGTATGGCCACGGAAACAATTGTGGGAAATGGTGAATCCATTCATTTTTGGTTGGATCGGTGATTGAATGCGAGGACCATTGCGGAATTAGCTCCCAATTTATTTAAGGCAATCCCAAGAAGGGCATTCAAAGCTCGGACGGTAATTGTTGTAAAAAAAAAAGCTCGGACTGTAGCCCAGACACTCCAAAATAGGAATTGGGTACGTTTTTTTTTTAATTAGGAATTGGGTACGTGATATCAAAGGGCCCCTAACAGTTCAGGTACTGGTTGAACCTGCTGGTATGGGACTCGGTGGATGGATGGCTTAATTCTACAGCCAAGTGTCCCTGGTCAGCATCGTTGGAAGGTAACCCAATCCTGGGTAGAGCAGGAAATCCGCTTACGCCACATTCTTCGTTGGAACCATCAAGTTCATCCCATGGAGGAGGATCTGAAAGAGTTGGGCCCCTCTGCTGCAAATTCTTCTTGCGGTTGGCTATCAACAACAGATGTTGAACTGCAGACCGGCTAGCCAAGCAAGGATTGCCTCATCTGACTGCCTGCCCATTCTGTGATCAAGCTGAGGAAACAATCCAGCATTTGCTAGTCTCTTGTCTTTTCTCTCAGCAGGTTTAGTTTTTCATTTTGCAGCAACTGAATCTGGCTGCTGTAGGACCTACCATAGGAACAAGTTTCTCTAGCTGGTGGAGTGTGATCAGAGGGGTACCGAAGGAGGCGCGGAAAGGCCTAAACTCCCTTATCATTCTAGTGGCTTGGGAGATTTGGAAGCATCGCAACTCATGTGTGTTTGAAGTTATGCAGCCAAACCTTCAAGCTCTCCAGACATTGGATGTTGAGAGCACCATATGGTGCTGGGCTGGTGCTTCCAAGGCCCAGGCCTCCTCGCTGGGTCGCCATCTTCATAGTATTTTAGGCTTTTGGGTGGTCTTTGGTCAGGCCTTCGAACTTTTTTGTGACGAGTCTTTTTCCTGTTGGGGGATGTTGGTTGTGGGTGTGTGTTCGGGTTCGGGTTGGGCTTTATGCTTACTCTTTGTACTTGTGTTTTTTTCCTACCTTAATGAAATGGCACGCAGCTCTCTTGCGTTGTTCGAGAAAAAAAAGCCAGAAGTAGTTCGTGTTCCAGTTCGTTCTACTTAGGAAATTAGTTTGTCAAATCCATTGGATCCTGACACTTATTTATTTTCAGTTATATTCACTTTTCTTACTATTAGTGTTTAACTCATCATGTCATCATCATTAATATACATGTTCTTGTGGTTTTTCAGTGACATTCTTAATGTTGTCGACTGCATAAATGGGCAGTATGAAAATGCCAATGCTGCAACTTCTTTTCCTTTACGTCCACTTAAAGTTAATCCTGGAAGAATTGTATACAAAAGAGTGGCTGAAGGCGAGTATCATGTGTTTCTATGGGCAGATTTCTTAAAGGAGTTCCCAAGCCACAAGAGGAAGAAAACCAAAAGGGGACGCAAAGGTACGTTTTCTTTGGATCAAACTGTAGAATTTCTTTCATTACTAAAAACACACTACTCCCTCAACATTGTGAGTTAAATTAGACCCCCTGGGTTTGAGACCTTACGTAGTACTTATATTACAATTAGCTCCTTTGATATGTTCCTTTATCACAAGTCTCCGAAATTAGGATAGTCACCATCAAACAAGCGAGAGCCCTTTAACCTCGGCCCCAGCGTCGCCCCCACATAGGCGACACGGAGGTGAACAAACCCTAGTGCCTCTCTTCCTTCCTCCTCTCTCCGGTTTGCCGTCAGCATGGGCGGGGGCACGGCATGGCCGTCTTGGCTTCTTGGGAGGCGGCGGCGAGGCTCTTCTTCGTGGTGGGGCTGCGGACGGTCGAGGACGAGCTCGCGTGCGGCTTCTGAGGGCTCGGCGAGGTCGGCTGAGGTTGAGGCGCGCCGGTGTCTCTTGGCGGTCTCCTCGCGTCGGCAAATCGGATCCGGCGGTCAAGGACCGGATCCCATGGATCTTCGGCAGTGTATTTGGCGTCGTGGCGGCGGCTCTGTCCATGGCGCCATTTGTCGCCGGATCCATGGGGTTCGGTAGCTGCGCCTAAAGAGCACTGTGTGGTGGCAGCTGCGTTGGCTGGGCGGGCCTCTTCCTCTTCTCGCTTTCGGTAGTGTTGGCGGCGTGCCAGATGGCGGGCGGGCGGGCGTGCCCTCGCCTTGAGCAGCGTGGGGCTCGGCGGGGTAACTGCTTCTGCGGCTACTGGTGGGGCGCTGCTGCCGCAGCAAAGCGCCGGCGGTGGCGGGGACTCCTTTTTCCTCCTCCGCTTCCCCCTTTCCTCCTCGACCTTGCGTGGAGGCGGCGGCACCTGCTGGGACACTGGATCTGGCGCCACGGCCACATCCGGTGCCCCCGGGGCTGGGGGCAGCGCCCGTGGTGGGGCATGCGCCTGACGGTGGCTGGCGGAGGTCGGCAGCGTCAACGGCGGGTGCTTGTGCCGGTGTGGTGGCTGGCGGCAACCGGCGTCTTGATAGGGTGGCGTGACGTGCGTGGCGGTAAGTCAATTCTACATGTTGCCCGATCGGAGGGTGGTGGCCGACGCCGCCGCGGTGTGTCATTGCTTTGTGAGCTGGCGTAGCGTCGATGCCCCTCTGGAGAAGCTTCTGCGGGATGGCAGTGACGACGACGGTGGCGACAGGCTACGGTCCATCATCTTGGCTCGACGTATGTGCTAGGGGCACCTTGGGCGAAAGCCTTGGCGACGGCGACGCCGGTGGGCGTCGTTTTCCTTGTTGGGGGCATCGTGTTCTTGTGCCCCCAGCCATGTCTTCCACGGGTGAAAACCCGGTCCTTTCCTGGACAAGCGACGGCGATGCATTCAGCGTCGTACCCTTCCTGAAGGCGTCGCTGTGGAAATTCGTCTCGGCCGTGATGTCTCCTTCGGCGGATGTCCTCCGCCTCTCGGCGCCCGGTTGATGCGAGACAGCGAGTTCTGCATCGTGAAGTCGGAGCTGCTGCATCTGGGGATGTAGCTCGGCAACGATGACGCGTGTCGAACCCTCCTTCTCCAACGGCTGGGTTTTTCAGCTTTAGAGGCTCGGCAATCGCCGCAGGCGGGGCGTGGGGTCATGGTAGGAAGTCGGAGCTGCTCTTCGTGGGGCCGTTGAGCTCGGCAACGATGACCTGCTGCAGTCTACTGGTTCGGGCCCGTTGGTCTGACATCTTATGATGGGTTGTCGGTGTTTTTCCATGGGAAGTCGGAGCTGCTAGCTGCTTTGCAACTATGCTCGGCAACGATGACTCATGGTAGTGTGTACTCTGTTGCGTTGCGTGGGTGGGTAACCTTTCGTGGTGTTTGGCGCCACGCTTGGCTACCTTTTGCTTGTATATAAACTTCATTCGTCTTAATTGAAAGGCAGAGCTCCTGCCATTGTTTCAAAAAAAAAAAACTGAACTCCTATTGTTTCATGACTTGTTTTTTAGTTTGACATTTTCCAATTCTCAAGGTCTATTACTTTATCAGTGAGAACATTTCTTCCACTGATCTGATTGCTACCAATACCAGAATTGTTCAATGCATTTAGACATATCTTGAGATTTTTTTTTTGATAATTTCCTGCTAACATTTCTTATATCAATATTTGGTAGATCCAACAGCAGATGATGTTCGATCAATGGATTGGTTGGAACATATCTCCAAAACTTTTGGAGTAGGTTTGAGCTTACACCAAATCAAGAATTAACACAATTATTCACTCTGCTGACCAATACAGAAAAATCGCTAATGTAAGTGATTTTACTTTTAACCATATAATAATATGAAAGTTTCTCAATAATGACCTACTATATGCATTTAATGGTGCTCATGGCTAATGCTTTTATTCTTTTATATTCATGTTTAAACTATGTAGCTACAGTGACTTGTTGTGAGAGGCATTGTTCCAGCTGATTTGTTGTGAGAAAAACAACATTAAATTTGAAAAAAAAAAATTTGAAAATACGGATTATAAGACAAGCGAATAGGGCTGAAGAAACAAGCTTGTCTACCTAGCTTATATTTTTTTTGAACCGAATATGAATGTTGCTTTTGATAACTGAATGTTGCTTTTTTTTAAATGTGAGAATTGTTTTGATGACTGAGACAATATGTAGCAAAAACACTAAACTACATCCCATATCGTAATAAAGAAGAGCATGTCTGGATGTTGCAATAGGGGGCTTATATTGGCTGGATACAGTATCTTTTTTCTCGAATACGCAAAAGATTTACGTATCATTGTAATTAAGAAGAGTTTAATCATACAAACGACGTGCTTCTGACGAGCGCCCTCGGAGGTCTTACAGCCGTAGGTTGGATCGTCCTAGCAAACAACTCTAAGCTTCGATATTACATAAAAGGTTTACAACCGAGCTAAGAGCAGCGCTGCAACCTACGAAGCTGGGCACCTCCGCTACTGGCTGCGTGATCCGACTTCGGCGTCCGAGAAGAGCTTTCTACCTGCCCTGTTGTTGGTTGCTGGAAATAACTCGTCCAGGGCTTCAACTTGGCTCGACGTCAAGTTCCCTACGAAAATGGCGTCGTATACTCCCTTGGATGCGGAAGAAACTGGTGCCGGCGGCGGCGCGATGCCCATCCTCTTCATGAGTAGTACCTCGCCCGCTTAGAGGTCGGTACGTGCGACAACGACTGAGTGGCAATCTGCCTACTCCTGATTGGCAAGGGGCACTTTATTACCGCATATACGCCTTGGAGGACTCGCGATCAATGGTGGATTGTCTCTTGCCTTCGCACCTCCTCGGTGAACCTTGCGAGACATCGAGCAGCCTCACGTGGTGTGGGCGTCGTGTCGCTTGGGTTGCGCGTGGCCACCGTGATCTCATCCTTGACGTCGAGTTGTCACACACGAGGCGGCGTGAGTCGGCGACTCTGCACCAACAACAAGCGAGGCGAGTGAGCGACCATCGTCGGGAGAACGGTATCCATCAACGATTCCTCAATCCCAGAGAGGCTGACCTCGAGTAATTTTGGCACCAGTATTAGTTCACTCATTGGTCGGCTCATGATTTAGCGCGGCGGCGACTCCTCAAAGATCGGATCGAAGAGACGACCCATGCAGGAGGCCCTGCTCTCGCGCACAGCGCCAATGCCAACGGATCTGGCTCAGGAAAGCATAGTGCAGAAATAGAAGTAGTTGCGTTGTCAACGTGCTCGGAAGGCACATGTAAGTGCAATCAAGCCCTATTGTGGGTTTTGGTATTGATGACCACCAAATTAGAGGGCTAATGAGATTTATCGAGATGACAAGCAGGGAATCGAAGAATGAGGATGATGAACAAGTGGCAGGTGTCCTAATTACAAAAGGTGGCTGGACCTAGCTCAAAGAGGGTTTAAATTCTTTTATGTTTTGAAATTGAGTTTAGGGAAAGTCGTACTATTAAGAGGGATTTTAGGACAGTTGGTCAACTGTTGAACCAGATGCTCAAATTCACAGATCTACATCCTCTCACCTAGTCAAAACAGCCAGCCAAATTTCATATCATCTTACCTTTTTTTTGGCTAGGCGACGAGGTTGCAAATCTGTTAAGAGCGGCGGTCTTGCTTTAAGCCCGGCCAGATTGGGCTCGGGGGGTATTTATACCCTTTAGGCCCGGCCCACAACGGTCATCTTCTCCACCGAGTCATTCTGCTCGAAACAAGACAGAACCAAAGCTCACCTCTCTCCTCCATTGTTGCTCCTCCATCCCTCAAGCTAATCCTTGATTCCAACCATCAAAACTTGAGAGAAAAGGCCGCAAAACTCGATTGGAGAGAAGATCCACTGATTCCCAAAGTCTAAGAGCATTTGGTTCACGTTTGGTCAGCGGTTCTAGGGTTTGTTACTCTTGGAGCTTGCTCCTAGCCAGCTAGGCGTCGCCCTTGTGCTTGCCAACTTGTGTGGCTGCCTTGGGAGGTTTGTAACCTTATTCAAAAGCTAAGAAATCACCCCTCACTTCAAGAGTTCACTCTCTTGATTTGAGAACGAGGGTAAGGCAAGCCTTTGTGGCAAGTTCAAACCTTTTGTGGCTTCCTCAACAACGTGGATTTATGCAAAACCTTAGTGGTGAGCTGAACCACGGGATAAATCAGGTGTCTCGCGTGCTTCATCTTTACTATACTTGTTGTTTACCTTACTGCTAGCTGTGGTTAGGGTTTAGTTGCTCGATTCACTGTTGTGTGAAGTTTCTGTGGTATCCGGTCTAATTGGATCTTGACTTTATATTGCGAGGATTAAGCGACTAGTGGGGTAAGGTTCATCTCATTAAATCTCAAGCTGTGTTAGATTATTTTAAGTAGAGAGCGGCGGCGGTGCTGCATACTGTAAGGCCGGTGAGTGTAGCCCTCTGTTCTATGAGTTTTGAGTTGAATTTTACAGCCTATTCACCCCCTCTAGGCCTCCTTTATCTTCTGTAGATCCTACAAGTGGTATCGAGCAAGATTGCTTCGTATCGCTTCACCGCGTGAAGTATGGAAGAAGGAGAAGGTTCAAGAACGTTCACGTTATGGACGCAAGTGGTGTGCATGTTGAGGATGTCGGCGTGCATGAGAACATCCATGTCCCTGACAAGTGATGCCACCATCAAAGAACCAAATACCACCGATGCTTAGAGAAAGAAGAAAGGCAAGAAAAGAAAGAAAAGCCGCAAAGATTGCAACAAGAGAAGCTAGAGAAAAGAAGAAGGAAGAGCAATGGCTCAAAGACAAGAAGAAGAGAAAAGAAGCTAGAAGAATCACAAGAGAGGCAAGAGCTAAGAGAAGGCAGCAAGAGCTCAAGAGCAAGAGAAGAATGAGTATGATGCATCGTCTAGTGAGCTCTCTAGTAGCTCAGACGATGGAGATGATGATGTGTCATACCATGCTTCAAAAGATGGCATGGAGGTGAAGAGCAAGGACAAAAAAGAAGGATAGCAAGGACAAGGGAAGCAACAACAACAAGAACAAATATGTCGCCGTATCCTTTAATTATTCTTATTTGTCTAACCATAACAAAAGGTCCTTTGTCAATGTACCCGCGGACAAGTTACCTCATTTTGATGGGACAAACTTTACCAAGTGGAAGCACTTGATGAGTG